TGGAGGGCACGGATGGGGGCAGCCGGGGGGTTGTGCCCCAGCTCCTCTTCGTTGGCGCCGCGGAAGCGCAGGGCACGGGCAAAGGTGCCGGCGCGGGCGTCGTACCAGGCGGCTGCGTGTTGGCAATTCAGCGTGAAGTTCTGGCGGGCGCTGGCACTCAGGAGACGCAGGAAGGTGAGTTGGGTCACGGGTACGGCATTCCCATCCGCGTCCACGTAGGAGAACTGGGAGGAGGACAGCACGGGGGGGGAGGGGGGCGGTGAGACCCAGACCCCCATCGCCTGCCCCGGGTGATGCCACGGGGGGGGTCCGTGTTCCCCCCCGCACCCCAGGTCGGAGCACGAGGAGCTCCCACGCTCCCACCTTCTTGCCCCTTTTGAAGGTGCTGTACCACGTCCCCGGCTTCTCCCTGTTCCAGGCGGCCAGTCGGACCTGGGGGTGACAGAGATGGTGTGTGTGGGGGGGGTTCTGCCCCTCCAACCCCTGGTCCCACAGAGCGTGGGGACAAGTGAGCCCCCAAACTGCCCCCCATCATGTCCCTGTTGGTTTGGGACACCCCAGATCCTCTCTGCCCTGGCTCAAACTCACAGCCTCAAACTTCTTATCGGGGAAAAGACAGGTCTCGCCGCCGGCCGTGAAGTTACAGAACACCCGGAAGGCGTCTCGGGAGCAGCCCTGGTTGGGATCAATCCAGTACTCGCCTGGGAAGGAGGGCAGGAAGGACAGACAGACAGAGAGGTCTGGCTCCCTGCTGCCTCTGGCCAGGGAGATGCGGCATGGGCACTGCCTGGTGTGACACAAGGTTCCCCCCCCCCCATCCCTCAGGGCTGGGTTTGGTGTCCCCTCTCCCTCAAACTGGCCCCCCAAAACCTCACCGTCCTGGAGGTGCGGGTGGCAAAGCTGCAGCTCCCTGCAGACCCGCGCGGGGCTCTCGGGGGTGCCCAGGGGGCGTCTCAGCTGCTCCACCTCCGTGCGCAAGGAGCTGAGCGAGGCGTACACCTCCTCCAGCCCCTCATAATCCGGGGGGGGTCCCTGCTCCCCCAGAGCCCCTTCAGTTGCTCGCCGGTGCCTCCTGTTCCGGCTGGAGGGCAGTGGCTCGAGCAGCTCAGCTGGGCGGCCCTGGGATGGAGAGGGATGAAGGGGTGAGAGCGGCAGGCGGGGGGGGCAAGCAGCAGGATGAGGGGGGGGGGGGGCGGGGGCA